GGGTGCCGTCGGCCAAGCAGTGTCGGCTGGCGACCCCCAGGGGGAGGGCCTTCTCTGTGGGTGCCCCCACCCTCTGGAACGAACTACCCCCCGAGATCCGGATGATTCCGGATCTCCTTACTTTCCGCCGCGCCCTCAAGACATGGCTTTTCCAGCAAGCGGGCCTGGCCTAGGGAGGATTTTAAATCGGGTTTTTAAAGCGGGTTTTTTAAGAATAATTTTAATCGCACAACTTTAAATATTGGTTTAATTTGGTTTTATCTGGTGGGGGTTGTAAATATGTCTATGTTTTTAAATATGTTGTGAGCCGCCCTGAGTCCCGTTGGGAGAAGGGCGGGATATAAATCAAAATAAATAAATAAATAAATAAATAAATTGGGTATGTCTAGTTTAACGAAGAGGACAAAGGGTGACATGATAGCAGTGTTCCAATATCTTAGGGACTGCCACAAAGAAGAGGGAGTCAAGCTATTCTCCAAAGCGCCTGAAGGCAGGACAAGAAGCAACGGGTGGAAACTAATCAAGGAGAGAAGCAACCTAGAACTAAGGAGAAACTTCCTGACAAGTTAGAACAATTAATCAGTGGAACAACCTGCCTCCAGAAGTTGTGAATGCTTCAACACTGGAGGTTTTTAAGAAGAGACTGGATAGCCATTTGTCCAAAATGGTATAGGGTTTCCTGCCTGAGCAGGGGGTTGGACTCGTTGACGTCCAAGGTCCCTTCCAACTTGATGATGATGATGATGATGATGATGATGATGATGATGATGTCATAAAAAGGCCAAGTTTGAAGACCCCTGCACTAGATGGACCTCCTTAAGAGAGAGGACCTGTAACATCCCCTGCCTTCCCACTCTGGTGGGTGTGTTTGGTAGATGTAAATGGGAAAAGATGGTCTTTGAAATCACCTGCCTCCAGACCACTTAGGATTTTAAAGATGACAACCAGCATCTTGAAGTGGACCTGGAAGCAAGTCAGCAACCAATGCAGCCCCTGGAAGAGATGTAACACGTGCAAATCTAGATTTGCACAAAACCACGTGGGCTGTATATTTTGAACCAAATGGAAGCTTCCAGATATTTTTCAAGGGCACCCCCCCAGATACTTCGTATATATATAAAAAATAACTCCTTAGGACAAGTACAAGACAGGTTGACTTGCTTATTTCCTTGCATGGGAAATAATGTGTCAGTGCTAAGAACCAGGCGCAGGGCATAGCCAAATGAGTAAGAGAAGTAACTTTATTGATGGAACATGTCAGATAAAGGCAGTATTTGGGGGGGGGGGGTCCTCTCAGCTGTTCCTGTATAGATCAAAGCCCATCTTGATGCAAGGTTTCTTACGTGGAGATGCTGCAAGATTCAGTCGAAGGGTCTTTTATGTCTAAAACAACAAATGTGTCATAAAACAATTATGCAGATTTATGTACAAATAGATACAGAACACAGAAGCATTTTCTTTCTTTTGGCTTTCCAGACGGAATGCTGGCCCTGTTGAGGTGTTTTGACCTTCTTTGTATCTCAGACATTTCATGTTTTAAAAGTATTATTGTGTCCACTTGTTTGCAAGACAAAACTTTTTACTCATGCAATGCTTGACTATTGCATGCTTCAGTGTGCGTGTATACCTGTGCTATGTAAAGCGATGGAGATGTAGAAGATGTTAAATGGGACAAACTGGCAAAGATTCTTCTACCTTTCCCAACACAACAGAAACTGTGGGACCCAGGAAATGTAAAGAAGGTAGGTTCAGAAGAAAAAGAAAAGACATTTCTCAATGCAAAGCACTTAAACTATGAGACTCACTGCCTCCTGAAGTAGTGATGGCCCACTTTTGGGAAGATGCTATTGTATTCATATCTGCCTTGCAGCCTTCCCTTAAGTAGCTGGTGGCCCCAAATGGGAAGTGGGAGGTGTCCTTATAATGGACATATTCCATAGAAATAAGAAATGATTTAATTGTCTAAGCTCCATGAAAGAGGTGCAGAATAAATTAGCTTCCAGCGGGAGTATTTCTATACAGGTAGTCCTCAACTTACAGCCATTTCATTTAGTGACTGCTCAAAGTTGCAGCAGCACTGAAAAATGAAATTTATGACTAGTGCTTGCATTTATGACCATCACAGCATCCCCATGGTCATGTGTTCGAAATTCAAATGGCCTGATGGTTGCAGCATCACCAGATCATGTGATCTGTGATCGCCATTTACGACCTTCCCAGTCAGTTTCTGACAAGCAAAGTCAGTGGAAGAAGCCACTTAACGACCACATACTTCACTGAAGAACTGCAGTAATTCACTTAACAATCATAGTAAAAAAAGATTGTTTAATCTAATGTGACTCAAAACCCGCCTTACTTAGCAACAGAAATTCTGGTCCCAATTGTGGTTGTAGATTAAGGATTACATGTACTGTAAGCACTGGGTTCTATTGTTCAAGGGAACATATATTTCTACAAACATATTGATAATATGTATTTGATTAATCCCAGGAGTTATTATTTTAAGGGAAAATTAAACCCTGGTTAACCAGATGGAAAAGACAAGCAGACCAAATTAGATGTGAGGACTGGAAATTCCCCATTGCATGGTTAGAGGCGTAGAAATTAAGGGGATTATCCAAAGATTTCATGAAAAAGACAGTTTTAAAGACAGATAGAAGGACAAAACATACACAAAAGCTTTCTGGAAAGCAGTTCCAAGCATAAGGGACAGCTGGAGACTTGTTGAGGGACTCACATTTGTGAAATTTAACTATGTCAATACCTGGGCCTGCCATTGAAACTGTTCAGAAACTTAAGCTAGTACGGAATGTAAGGATTTAACTATAGTTGGACAAAACATAAGTATTACTCATCTTCACTTGTTTCAATCCATTTTTAGTCCCAGTTCAACATACTTTTTACCTATAAATTACTATGCAATCTGAAAAATAGAAAAAACTCTTCTGCTAGGTGTTTTGCCTTATGTTTGAAATATGATTGAAATATGTTCATCAATGCCCAACTGTCACGATCATCCTGTGACTGAATCAGTCTAGGAGATTTTTTTTTTTGAGGGCCATTTGCTGGATTGTCAGCACACACACACACAAAACACGAAATCATTTGAAGACAGTAAGTTCTCCGTCCATGAATGACAATATATTTACAATAGAAGTAACGCCTTGGAGATTTAATGGGAATTTATATCCTAATAAGCATACAGAGACTTAAAGCTCAAAAAATTAGTATTAAACTCTTGAAAACAATTTTAAATAGAAACTGCAATTATTGTGCATATTTGAAAAAGTAAGGAAGATGAGAAAAAAATAACAATATTTTAATTTTATCCATAAATAAAATTAAACTGATCACATTTAGTACATATTACAGTGATTGAAATTAATACAAATGTAAACACGGTAAAAAATTATTTCATATAACAATTCTAAAATACATTAGGCAATGTCAAAAATACATCTCAGTATTTAAGTGTTTTAAACACTAGAGGAAAGTGCTTTTTTAAAAGATAATATTGCCATTTAATATTAACCCAGAGCATCAAAATTACTTAAATTAAAATAATTCCTAGCACATTTGAGTTCTTTCTATAACAACGTACCTTTGATTGAGAATTAATATTAACTCAGTTTGAGTTGTTCTATTACATTATTTCTCAAACCCAGCAAGCCATTTATTCTAACTCTTGAAATATACTGACATTACATTACCATCCTATAAGTAAGCATTGTTATCTATGAACTTGAACCTGCCTATTTCGTTACCAAAGGATGCATTTCAGTTGCAGTGTTGCTTATTCAACAAAACAGCTAATTTAGCATAATGACGCTTACAGTAAATGAATGCACCGGGATGTATTTGATTTTGTATTTCAGGAACAGGCAATCTTTAGAGGCTAGTGGATTTATTAGCAATTTCAAAAGCATTGCAGGTAATTTCATAGAATAGCTGTTATGGTGGTATGTTCAGTCACAAAACACCTGTTTCCCATTACACAATCCAACTTCAAGATAGCAATAACAATAGCACTTAGACTTATATACCGCTTCATAGTGCTTTACAACCCTCTCTAAGTGGGTTTACAGAGTCAGCATATGGCCCCCAACAACCTGGGTCCTCTTTTTACCCACCTGGGAAAGATGGAAAGCTAAGTCAACCTTGAGCTGGTCGGGATCGAACTGCTGGCAGTCAGCAAAGTTAATTGGCAATACTGCATTCTGTGCCACCATGGCTCTTACCATCCCAGTAAATTTATGGCAGGTTGATTTTTGTTATGTAATAGGTTTACCTTTTCTTAGGGACACACTGGCACATGTTTAACTAAGCACCTAATTACTATAATTTTCATTTACAAAGAATTCCTATGTAGCTTATTTGGAGTATGGAATACATTAGAATCTGTACCATGTCTGCTTTTACTGTATTTCAATTTCAGTGATGATGTATAGAATCTGGCAAACACTGAGAATTGACATCCTTTGGCAACTCCACTGCCTTTCCTATAATTTTTTTTATTAATTTAGAGCATTATTTTGTGTACCACAGGAGGAGCCTTTAGGTTCTGTAGAACCTGTAAACATACATACAAATCAATCCCCATTGCTTCTCATTTTCTGACCATTGTCTCCAGTAATAAAAGCTCCTGAGACTAGAGACCAGTTTTTCCTTCTTAGGAACTACTACTTCAAAAAAAAATACTTCTGAATGATAAGGGTTGCACCATTTTAAAGAAAGCACTTAAATGTTTACATAGTATAGCTTTCTGCAAATTAAAAAGAAACTATTGCATGTCCTATCCCTCTCAAAAAATCTATACACTTTCTAGAAATGTGAGTGAACACAAAAATATTTAAATTCTTACTTTACATGTATAGTTTTCCCAGGCTTCAGAATTCATAAAGTGGTACCATTATAAAGAAATAATGTTATTATCAATGAGATCTATAATCAAAGATAATAGCTGAATATTATGACACTGAACTTTGATTTTATCAAACAAGTATGAACTCAGTCATGCAATTTTGATAGGCACCAGTTTAGAAAAAGTGTTAGGAATTGTTTTATCTTTTTGCTGTTAAATCTGGAGCAAATTACTTCAGTCATGTCAGTTTGTACATTTTGTTACAATTGATGCATTACTTAGCATTGCACTTTAGATCAATGATAAATTCTTACATTTACTTGTGTTATTTTTAGTGTATATAATCCTAAACTTTCAGTGAAAAATATGAAACAGATCATTATTCTGTTATATACTTCTGGAAAGAGTGGGAAAAACAAATAGATTTGAATCTAGCAGTGCCACACTATCCTTGCCTGTAGTTTTGAATTATAATCACATTACAGATGATCAAAAATATACTCATACTGGCTTCCCTTTCTGATAAAGAATTTAATTTTTTCCATTTTCCCGCTAGAATTCTATTTAAAAATAATTGGAAGATGTTACAATGCTACACGCACACACGGACATATATATATATAAACATTCAGTTTTCTTTGCATTATGTTCACATTTCCATTATTCTGTTCTAGCTTTCAAAAATGTTCCTTCAACCACTCGCAGAAATCCTTGCCTCTCTTAAAACAATGCAAATCCTATTTGAAGAGCCAGATTATGTGAGGTAAGAAAATGTACTGCTCATTTCTTTACTCAGACCAGAGCAAGTCTAACCCATTCCAGATGTTAGGGCAGTGTTAAGTTCATAAAACAGCATTTAAAAGAACTGGAAGAAGTTGTGGTGACAACCCTCATGAGGTTGTCCCTGGAAAGCAAGTAGGATACTAGTAAGTATCTGTCTTTATTAGTGTATATTAATTCTATGAGAACTTGGGATATTGTTCATCTCATGGTTTAAATATTAAACAATTATAATTGTGTATTATGTAGGGATCCCAAATTCTCCTCCTTTACTGAGAGGCCAGATGATCTTCCTTACGGTCCTTGCTCATTAGTTCTACCTCAGTGGTTCCAGCCTCCCAAGCTGCAAGCTCGTGGTCAATCAACCCGAGGTGGTGCAAATTGAGGAGAGAATCAGCAATAATCCGTGCAGTCCGCTTCTGGTAGCCCCCAGATGTCACCATCAGGATAGGGATTCTGTGCTTTCGAGCAGCTCTGAACACAATTTCGTCTCTTTTGATAATGCCCTGGAAAGTTGCAACAGCAAAAGTTGAAATAGCAAATGCTGGATTTCCTAAAAGTCAATCAACTGTACAGGTCTCAGTTTTACAATATTGCATGTACTTTACACCAAACTCTTTTGTGAATTAAACATTACAGTGACCAGCTGTGACCACTTTTGAGCCATTTACCGTTAAAAAAAACCCTGAGGGCTGATCAACAGCCAACCAAGGAAATAGTTGAGAATGAATTCTTGAATTGCTGTATTCAGTGCGTCAAAATACATCCTTTCAGCAGCTACATGAGGTGCATTGTTGAGACAATAAGGATGTATCACATCAGATCTGACATGAAATGTTCAGCATTTTTTTTTATTCTCTCTGTATCAAGCAGACAGGATCTCACTTCTTTGTAAAAAATTATATTTGACAGATAACAAATACTAGCAGTGAGAAGTTTTCCCCCAGGACCATTCCAGCAAAGCAGTAAGAAAATCACCAGAATTCTGAGAATAACATCCAAATTAAAGCATGCAGCAACACAAATCTTGTGCCTTTCTGTAACTCCTTAAACCAATTGCATTTTCCCACAAGACTGTGTATTAACCACAAAGGATAGGTGTGGATCCTGGGGAAAAGATATAGCTGCTTTAAAGAGTTGCAGACAATATACCTGCTTATGTTCCCATGCTCTCATAATATTTCTGGAATAAAATTTGAGCAGTCTCAGTCAATAACTGATGGGGCATGTAGTAAATAACACAACATAAAAACATTCAGGAGTTGAGAGCAGAAGCAAAGAAAAGGAACTATAAAAATGAGATTAAATCAGGAGATGAAGTAGGGCTGTGCCGGGATATCAGAATAAATAATGACCTGGTCACCATAGCTCAGATATTGACAAGGTACCGTATCCTACTGTATTTTAGGAAACAAATATGTTGTGATCTACAAACCTCAGGCGAAATAGCTAAGCCCCCCAGAGGATCACCATCCAAAATATCAGTTCCAGCGTTATAGATAATGATGTCTGGTCTCATTTCATTCAGTGCGCCTTCCACGTGAGTTTTTACTTTCTGAAGGTATTCAGTGTCTTCTGTACCCCAGTCCAATTCAACTCTCCGTTTTATGGCTCCTAATAATTACAAGGATTAGATACAATTAAAAGGGGTGGGAAAATGAGAAATAAGGATAGAAAAATCAGCTTTTGATATTTAAGATACACATCTATTTAGATACATCTAGGAGGAAACTGTTTTAAAATAATACAAATAATCTCTCTTTGAATCATAGAATAGAATAGAATAGAATAGAATAGAATAGAATAGACCAGTGGTGGCGAACCTTTTAGAGACCGAGTGCCCAAACTGCAACCCAAAACCCACTTATGCATCGTTGGGTGCCGGGTGGGTGTGGCCCATTGGGTGGGCGTGGCCCATTGGGTGGGCGTGGCTGCAGTGGTAACGGCAGACTGGGTGGGATTAAAAAGTTCAATCAATCAATTCCAACTTTGCGAGATCTTTTTTTTCCCCGCGAGAAGTTGAAATTGACTGATTGATTGAATCTTTTTTTTTTTGTACACGGCGGCGGAGGCCTAAAGCGAAAAGGTTTTATAAAACCCAGCTGAAGGCCTAGGACTGGGGCGACGGCGCGCGTGCCCACAAAGAGGGCTCTGAGTGCCGCCTCTGGCACCCGTGCCATAGGTTCGCCACCACTGGAATAGACCTTGGAGGTCTTCTAATCCAGCCCCCTGCTCAAGCAGGAAAACCTATACCATCTCAGACAGGTGATTGTCTAGTCTCTTCTTAAAAATCTCCAGTGATGGAGTACCCACGATTTCTGGAGGCAAGTCTTTCCACTGGTTGATTGTCCTCACTGTCAGGAAGTTTCTCCTTAATTCTAGGTTGCTTTTCTTCTTGATCAGTTTCCAACCATTGTTTCTCGTCCTTCCCTCTGGTGCTGTGGTGAACAACCTGACCCCCTCTGCCTTGTGGCAGCCCGTCAGATACTGGAACACTGCTATCATGTTTCCCCTAATTCTTCTTTTCTTACAAGTAAACATTAATGGTTTATTCTTTGAATGGGATTTTGGGTTTTATTCAGATATATTATGGTATAGGTTTCTAAACATTTACCGTGTAATCCTACAGAATTTACTTAGAAGTAATCCTCACCAATTGCAGTAAACTTTACTAGGCTTGCAGTCTTAAATTATAATGCTGGTTTTCATTCCTCAGGGAGCAATATTAAATTCTGAGTGTAATAATTTCATGATTACAAATTAGATTGTACTAATTAGATCACATTAATTTCAAAAACACTGTCTACTTACGTTTAGCAAGTCCATCTCCTGGATAAATATACCTGTTGTAAACATCCATAATATATACTCTTCTGTCTTCCAAGAAGTCTCTTTCATGTCCATTTCCCTAAAAGTAAAAATAATAAAAACCCATTAATTAGGCCAAATCATTTCCTCTTTGATTCTTTTTTTTAATATATGGGTTAAAACAACTTCACAGCAATTTATCGTGATATAACAGAATGTGATTGTGTAGGCATGCTACTGATAGCAAGATCAATTACAGTAAGCAGCAATTATAAGATTCCTTTGAACTCTTAACTCTAATAATTTTGAATTGTTAGGCAATATTAGTTCAGCTTCTATGTGCAGGCCTGTAGTCACATATAGCGCTTTTTCCAAATATGTATCTGGCAAAGCATAGAGAACTACTGCTCTTCCATCTTGGATTTCTTCTTCTCACCCTTTTATAAGATCATTTTTACTCAATGTATGCAGTTTTTAAGTTTCATGAAGATGACAATTATAGGTGATTTTCACTTAATGACAACTCACTCAGCAACTCTTCAAATTTGTGACCTTGGCGTTCCAGCCATCACAGCATCCCGGGGGCACACGACCACCATCTGCAACCTTTACCAGTTTCTGACAAGCAAAATCAATGGGGAAGCTTGCAGAAGGTTGTCCACGGCAACCATGGGATGTCCTTGCTTCACAACTAGTGGTAATTTGCTTAATGATGGCAGCTGGGAGTGCCAGAATAGCCATCACTAAAAAACCTATCACATGACATTGTATTTTATCATAGCATTGCTTAGCAACTCTAATTCTGGTCCCAACTGCCTAGTTCAGGGGTCTCCAACCCCTGATCCGTGGACCGGTACCAGGCGTGGCATGCCAGCAACCGGGCCACACAAACAAGCAAAGCCCCATCTGTGGGATGCAGGTAGCACACAAAACCACACACTCTCTAGTCCATGGAAAAACCTTTCTCCACGGAACTGGTCCCTGGTGCCCAAAAGGTTGGGGACCTCTGGCCTAGTTAACTGAGGACTACCCATATTGCATTAAAGGCTGCTTGTTAAGTTTTGCTTTGTAAAAATATCCTGAAAAAGCAATTAGTTTCTTTATGGTAGTATGTCTCAGAACATTTTAATTTCATCACTCACCTGATGTGCATCCAAGTCTATAATTGTTGCCCTTGAAACGCCTTCTACTCTTTCAAATAAAAACTGAGAAATAGAGCAAAATAAATCAAAATAGGAAAGAAATTTCAAAATGAAAACATACATTTTGCACAAGCTATGAACCTTTTAAAGAACTATGTCATATAAGGCATATATCATGGGCCATTATTTTAACACCATAATGCAGAATATCCATTTGAAAACACTCCCAACTTTTCAAAGAGTTTACACTGAAATTTACTTCTTTTCATCCATAAAACACCCACACAGGGAAAAAGCAACATCCTAATCATCTAGTCAAGAATCTAGTTCACACATCCTGCTAAGCTAACATTGATAAGCTTAGTTTGTTGCATTAATCTTTCAATGATGGTTTATAAGCTGCAGCTCCTTTCTTTCGATATACTGTGTTAAATTCCAAATACTCTAAATACATGAACAATGTTTTGTGTAAACTCTATAAATATAAGTGTTTCTTCTCATCTCTTTACCCAATTCCCAATTCTTTGTAAAAAGCTAAAGAGAAACATCCTAAAGGAAATCAACCCTGTCTGTTCTTTGGAAGGACAGATGCTGAAGCTGAAGCTCAACTACTTTGGCCACCAAATGAGAAGAGAGGACTCACTGAAAAAGACTCTGATGTTGGGAAAGATTGAAGGCAAAAGGAGAAGGGGACGGTGGAGGAGGAGGAGATGGTTAGACAGAGTCACTGACAGAATGAACATGATTTCGGGCAAACTCTGGGAAACAGTGGAGGCCAAAGGAGGCCTGGTGTGCTGTGGGGTCGCGAAGAGTTGGACATGACTTAGCAACTGAACAACAAAAGAGAAACAGGCATGACCTTAACCGAGCAGGTTTGGTCATGGGTACTGCCTCAATCATCCCTGCTGAGCTGTGTGGGCTTTTTTGTTGGATTCTGTACAGGATTTGGGAGGGGAACTTTTGTGTTACTATCTCTGGCTCCTTCACTTACTAATAAAACCATTCAGTCTTAATCATAAGCACACTCAAAAACTTAACCCATGTTGCAAAATTTGGTTTCCACCACATCTGTTGATCAAGTTATGCTGGCTTAATTCATACATAATTCTAAATCAAAAACAGGTTTTATACTACAATTACTGAGTTCACGGTTATGCTAACCAAAACAAGCCAGGATCTGTGAACACACTCAAATAAATATGTCATAGTTGTATCAGATAATATTGCAGGAAGAAATGAAGTATATAAAAGTTAATTTAATCCTTCGGGAAACGTACATCCTTTGGAGGAGGATTATTTCCTGATCTCCATGAAAGGAGGAAAATTCCGTAATTATTTTCATTATTTGAATTACTAAGAACAAAATTAAGACAGACATAATTTTGCAGTTTCTATCAAGAATCAATTTTTTTGTTTACCTTTATAGTCAATGTGATATCAGCATATGCACAGAAGCCTCCACCCCTATCACTTGAACAGTGATGGAAGCCACCACCTGGAAAAAGAAGTAGCAAATTTGAAGTATATGTATGTATGTATGTATGTATGTATGTATGTATGTATGTATGTATGCATGTATGTATATATACATACATATAAACAGTGCTTTTTTTTGTCATAGAACGCACCGGAATGGAGTTCTGGCACCTTTTTTCGACGGATTTTCCAAGTTTTAAAAGTAACTTTTGAAAATTTGATGTTTGGTCTACGTGGACTTGAATCTCCCTGCCGAGCGTAGCAGGTTGGTGGCAAATCATTAAAACGGTGCATGCGGGCTACTGGTGTGTCGAGTCTGATGCATGCGTACTTCCTCCGCGCTGGTTGTGATGGCACTGCTCGGCTTGTGGCACTGCTCAGCTTGTGATTGGTCGTGTGGTCACGTGCTGCGGTCGCGTGCCGTGGGCGGCGACCGTTATGTTTTGTTACACAATTCACGTGGGTGTGTGTACAGTGATTGACTATGTGCGAATGGCAAATAATTTCTTTATTTTAAAAAATCATTAGTGAATTGAAAATCTTTTTTTAATTTTTAGTGTAAAATTTACTATGAACATTTGCCTTAAATACAATAAATTAAATTTATGTTAAGAACTGAATATATAATTTTTTTTAAATAAAAGATTAACAAGATGTGAGTTCCAGCACCTTTTTTCTTCCAAAAAAAGCACTGCATATAAATACACACAAACACACTCCAGATGGCTGTAAGCAAGTTAAGTGGCAATGAGATTGTAGTCTAGAATTGGTCTGTAAATAAAGGAAGTAAATCTGCTCCTACTTACCAACATTAACTGCCCATCCTCGCTCAATGGCCAGTTTCCCTGCCTTAAGATAAAGAGGAAAAAATAGGAATTGGCTTGTGAAAAGTAGACCCCCAAAGAATTCTGCAAACATTTAAGCACCATTGTGAAATTAAACCCTTGCTATTTACTCAATCAGAACACAAGGGGCTTTGAACTTCAAAGTGAAATTTCTATTAATCTGCTTTCTTTGGAAGAAACCGAGAGCTTTTTAAGGGATTCAATGGGTGCCTTAAGCTTTTACAAGATTTAAGGTGCCATTTCATTTAATAAAACCATCCCCAAACACCTCCAAATATTAAAAAGGAGACAATATTTTTTGGACATCCCCACTGGACGAAGCTCTGAGGGCCATAACAGGTATTCTTTTCACACTTCTTTGATGCCTTAATATTAAATCTAATCCTATATGCTCACACCTTTGACTCAATTTTGACTCCTGGCAACTGCCTAGAAAGGCCCTGCAGTTTTCTTGACAAGGTTTCTGGAAGTGGTTTGCTCTTGCCTCCTCCTGCTTCCTGGGATTAAGAGAGAAACACTGGGCCAACCTCACCCAGCTGGCTTCAAGCTTAAAGGAGGACTAGAACTCATGATCTCTATCAGTTGCTACCTTACATTTGCTTGTGCCTCGCTACCATGCGGTGACAGTCTGCCATGAACACTGGGGAGGGTAGTTGGGAGGGGGAATGCTTGGGGGAAAACGAAAGTAGCTTCTGTATTTCCTCTAGATCAGTGGTTCTGAACCCGTGGGTCGGGACCCCATTTGGGGTCGATCGACCATTTCACGGGGGTCGCCAAGCAAGGCTGTCCGCCATTTTTTTTGTCCGCCATTTTTTTCCCCTTTTCCGGCGGGTGCCTTACCTCCCTTGGGCTGGGCCAGCTGGTGGTCGGCCTGCTCTGTCTGTCTCTGCCGCTTGCCAGCTACGCCTCGGCCGGCGCAGGGGGCAGAACCACGCATGCACGGCGCTCCCGGGCAAGAAAAGTCCTCGACTTACGACCGGTTTAGTCCTCGACTTACGACCGGTTGGGGTCGCGGCATTAAAAAGGTTGAGAACCACTGCTCTAGATGCTGCCTCAAGGTCACCCAGTTGGGAAAAGAAAGTAGCTGCATACCAACCTACAACTGAACTGACCAATCGCAAAACATCTTGCTTGAACCTGATTGGTCATGGGGGGGGTCAACAAGGGAGGCAGTTAAGGGAGGGAAAAGTTGAACTTTGGGGTTTTGGCACGTGATTCTCAGTTCTGGCTATGCACTACTGCAATACACTTAACTTCTAATAAAACTATATCTTTCTCAGCAAATGGAGCCCAGGATCATTTCTATTTAGAAGTTTAAGTGGTGACAGGTCTGTCAGTCTCCCAGTTTTTAAGATGATACCTTATCACGATACCAAAATTAATTTATCAAATTTATATAGTCTCCCATTTCACCAAAGGCGACTCTGGATGGTACATAGCAAACAGATAAAACCACATATACAAAACAACAAACAAACATAAATATCACTTTAAAAAGTAAATATTATTAAAAAACAGATACAAACCCTAGGTGAAGAGAGGATAAGAATAGCCAGCTCAGCAATGGAACCATCTAAGTATGACTCCAGTTCACTGGGAGTTCCAGGCTTGATAACATAAACAGGTCTTGAGGGCCTTCCCAAATGTCAAAAGGGATGGAGCTAATCTAATTTTGGAGGGGAAGGCTGTTCCATAAGGCAAGTGTCACAGCAGAGAAGGCATGTCTACGGGGACTCACCAAAGGCAGGTCCTTAGCTGCTGCTACCCACAGCTTGCCTTTCTAACCTGAACTAATTAATCTGATCTGATATAAATTGGTTCTCTAATCCAACTGTAATCCTATGTTCATTTAGTTTCCTTGTGAATTATGGCTATCTCCATGCTCTTATCTTGGAAGGATTACCAAATATTTCTATCTTATTTAGAACTACATAGCAATTTGGACTCTCGCAATATCAAACCTGCAGAAACTATGAGAGAAACACTACCAAATAATGTGACAAATCTAGCATCTGCTATAAAAAAAAAAAGATAAGGTAGTAGATCAAATTTGGAGAACCATTAGCAATCAGATAGTTAAAATTTACATGATGCAATGAATCATAAAACAATTCATATCAAATTCAACTATTGTTGACTTCTGGTTCAATGGGTCTTGCAAGCTCAGGAAAGTTGGATTAAGTTGAGAAAGCAATGATAAAGTTACTGATGGGTCACTCTGCCATGTGAATGCAGTATCAGCTGAGATTGGACAAGATCTGAGTTTAAGAGCTTATTTCATCAAGTCGATCAGTTCCTTCTTATTGGTTCCTTAGACCAATGTGCAGATTTATTCAGCTTTAGAAACCAAGCAAGACATGCTTACCATTATTGTTCCTCCTGTTTGGGTTCTCAGAGGCCTGAGCACTTTCCTCTGAACAAGGAAATTTGGCATAAAAAGGACTGGAGGGATTTCTGTAATTGTAGCCACTGCAAAGGACCACTAGAAGAAGAGAAGGAGGAAAAATATACATTCAGATCTGACTGAAGATAAATTTTTGTCAATACATTTATGCACGTCTAAGTCCCACTTATTCAATTCAATGGGATTTATCCCCAATCAGCATTCGTAGGATGACAGCCTGCATACATAATCCCTTTACAACATAATTTAAACGTACTGACTCCGAAGTAAGTCCAATCAAGTCAAACTGGGCTAACGCAATAAGAATGGGTAGTAATTCAAATGTAACATTATTACTATAGCTATATGCAAAGGAAAAGCATTTATTTTATTTCAATGAAGGAGATAGCCACAAAAAGCATCCATGAACTCTTACAGAGATGTTAAACATTGATGAGCAAACAAGAAGAGCAGATTAAGGTTGGATTCTAGAGCTACCTGAGAAGATGACTTATGTTCCTGATTTTTCTCAGCCATCCTTCCCTTTATAAGGGAAGTCCTTGACTTACGACCGGTCACTAAGTTACATCCTATCTGAAAAAGGGAACTTAACCCCCCCCACCTTTTCAGCAAAATCACACCCACAGTGGACAATGGGTTTACACTTATGACCATTGCATTTGCTTAATGAATGCTGTGTTCACTTAACAACTGCTGCAAAAAAGTAATATCCCATGATCATGTGACCAACCTCTCTTACGACTGTAACAACAAACAACCATAATGGAGGGATCCATTTACAGTTGTAACTGGAGGGCTACCTGTAGTAGTTTCTGCCTTAAAATCCTCCTCTGATTTGAGATAATTTTCCCTTTTTTCCTGCATCCACCCCTTGTTCCAAAGAGCCGCCTTATCATCTAGAGCAGTGGTTCTCAACCTTTTTAATACCGCGACCCCCAACCGGTCGTAAGTTGAGGACTAAACTGGTCGTAAGTCGAGGACTACCCAACCGGTCGTAAGTCGAGGACTTTCTCTGCCCGGGAGCACTGCGCATGCGTGGTTCCGCCCCCTGCACCGGCCGAGGCGTAGCTGGCAAGCGGCAGAGACGGAGCAGGCCAACCACCAGCTGGCCCAACTCAAGGGAGGTAAGGCACCCGCCGGAAAAGGGGAAAAAAAATGGCGGACAGCCTTGCTTGACGACCCCCGTGAAATGGTCGATCGACCCCAAATGGGGTCACGACCCATAGGTTGAGAACCGCTGATCTAGAGCAAGGGTCCCCAACCCCTGGTCCGTGGACCGGTACCGGGCTGTGGCATCCCAGTACCGGTCTGCACAAACAAGCAAAGCCCCATCTGTGGGATGTAGACAGCACACAAAACCATGGAAAAGTCTCTCTCCACAGAACCGGTCCCTGGTGCCCAAAAGGTTGGGGACCTCTGATCTAGAGACACAATGAGCAGGTAAGCATCCAAAAAGCCACACAAGAAGAGAATAAGAGGGGGGGGAAACCATAGGACCAGCTGCCTTCTGCTTATTCAATCATCTGCCCATGACTATATTATGTAATATTTTTCCATGTAGACTATTGAGCTTAGAACACTGTTCGCTTTAATAGCCACAGTGTCCTTATGCCCAACTGCGATCAGATAATTTAAGCACTGAATTTAATAATATTTTTTTCAAAAAAGATGAAGTAAAACTTTAACAGCAAGAGCGTTCTGCAAAGGCAAAAGTACTGAGTAGCAATGAATAATGACAATGATTTCAACTGTTGGATGGAGCTAATTTAGCAAACAGCACAACTGAAAGGACAAGGCAACAAATAACTAAGCTGCATTTAAAAGATATGACACTTTCCACTGTAGGGCAAAAGCACAATGTGATCTAGATTGTAGAATACCTTTTTAAAACATTCCGATATACATGCTTCTGTAAGCAATACAAAAAAAGTTAACCAATACTCAAACATCTTGCATAACGTGTAGCCAAAATTAATCTGCAAATTGTGCCATATATTGCTGCCTGCAGTGCTGCCTTCATAGGTTTCTTGCCAATTCTGCTCTGTAAAAATGTTTTGAAATTGCATGCTAATCTACAATTTATCAAGAGTTTTAAGAGGGGTAGTACATGCATGTTACTTGCTATATTTCTGTTTCTAGCCCCTAAGACAGGGGTAGGCAACCTTGGCTCTTTTATGACTCGTGGACTTCAACTCCCAGAATTCCTGAGCCAGCCATGCTGAGGAGAAAGGGAGAGGTTTCCAAGCTGAGCCATGCTGGCTCAGGAATTCTGGGAGTTGAAGTCCACGAGTCATAAAAGAGCCAAGGTGGCCTACCACTGCCCTAAGAAGATCAGAGAGTTAGGAGAGGGAGAGGGAGAGGGAGAGGGAGAGGGGGAGAGAGAGAGAGAGAGAGGAGAGAGAGAGAGAGAGAGAGAGAGAGAGAGGAGAGAGAGAGAGAGAGAGAGAGAGAGGAGAGAGGAGAGAGGAGAGAGAGAGAGAGAGAGAGAGAGAGAGAGATGCAATAAATGAATATATGTCAGGGAGGAGAGATTTTCAAAAGGTTTCATTGAAGAAGAAGCTACCGTACCTTTAATCGATTCAAGTAATGTCTTGTGTGAACAACTAAAAGGTCCTCCTCAGTGGCCTCTCGAGCCTGTACAATCAAGTCATCTGTAATTAGCTTTGCTTCTGAATTAAAAAAAAAATGGGGGAGGGATAATAAATGATACACAAGTAAGATTCACTTTTCAGCACTTTAAAAGCCAAGCCGTTATATTTTTTTTTCATTTTAGGTAAGATGAAAAGCCTGTCCAACCTTGGATGCTACCAGTATTTTAGATTTCCATGTGCTATTCAAAAAGCTGATTTTATCCTTTAAAGCTCATTATTACTCGATTCCCAGAGACTTTTAAGGACTATCTCTCCCACATGGAATGTGTGTGACATGCATTTTTCTCATGAAGGGGATGCTTCAGATCCTCCCCATTAGTTTTGGGGAGAGAGGGACCAAAGGTAGATGTTCACATTGATTGCCTCTTGAACACTCCCCTTCCAAAGATCCCTATAGCTCCTACCTATAATTATTCAGGAAGGATGATTCTTAGGGTCTTACGTGGCTTGCATGCTATCCTTGGAGGATTGGGCTATTTGAATGTATTTAATTAGCTAATGTCTTTTTAATTCATGATGATTTTATGATGCTATGCTTTTATACCTTCATGGCTGTGAATCACCAAGAGTCATTTTGAACTTGGCAGTACAAATCAATAGATCAATCTACAACTTAAGTGCTTGTGGGGTGTGTTTTTCCCTACAGCCCTTTCCCACTGAGTCTATGGGAGAAAATGAGGTCATCTACTAGCACGGGTTGACCTTCATGCCAGAAAAACTGAAGATCCTACAAATTCAATGACTCCAGTGTCCTGCCAGCTCCTTTTTGGCTATTCTAATGCTGAAATTCTCCTGGCAGGACATTTTTCTGCAGCTTCCCAGAGAACGTTTATGAGGTTCGAGATCCTTCTCCAAGGGCAGCTCTGAGATTCTGCCAAGAGAAGAAGATCTCTAATGAATCCTATGGTGGTTCCTAAATATCATAATTCAAATGCATACCACAGATTTCCCCAGACAAATATCTCAACAAACATCGAAACATTTTTTATCCCAGATGATGCCTACAGCTGACTAGGGAAGAAAGAAGCAGTAGTCTAACTTATTTGGGAGGTCATGGAACAATAGAAAAAAATTTAGGGAAGTATGAAGTTCACTTTTAGGATTTACTGGAACAATTTCAGTCTCAGCCCTTCGTACAATTTCTGTTCACTGCTATATTGGCAACTAAGTTGACTAACAAGCTAATTTATGGACCAGGTTTCCTTCTCTTATTTAAAGACTGTGTTCATATAAAATATAGTTGCTGTGTTCACATGATACTCTAATCCCAAATAAATAAACCACATTATGATTTAATGTGATTGGGTTACTTAAAGCAACATCTGCATTCCCGTAACACCCTACATCACAATCTCCCAATTCCGTTTAGTCTACCTAGCCTAGTGTGTTGTGAATACCTAGCCAGATTCTTGGTGGTGAGTATCAAGGTTCCAGAATCCAGTCTTTTGATCAGCCCAGCGTTTATAAACTGGACTGGCTGAAAAGCAACTTGCTGCACATCATGGTTATAATGAATATATCATTCCTTCACAGTAAATCAGAGGAATGCCACTCAAACGCAGCCTCAGAAAGTTCCTATTGTTCCTCCTGCTCTACTTTCCCTTATGAATGCCACAGAAGCAAACAAAAATATGTGCACAGCCTGCAAATATATATTCCCTACCTTTTTTTTTTGCACCACTTTCTGAGCTCATAATTATGTAACTATTGTACAATTGAAGTGGCCTGACATTCTAAATACTAAACAAATGCAAACCTAACTATTTTTGGAGTATTTAAACACAATGGCCATCTGTTGGAAATGTTGTAGGAGTGGATTTCTATACCGGAGAGAGGATGAAATTTCCATGTCCTTAGAAGTAGTCCTTGACTTATGATTGCAGCTGAGCCCAAAATTTCTGTTGCTAAGTGAGACAATTGAGTGAGTTTTGCCCCATTTTTACAACCTTTCTTTCCACCGCTGTTAAGTGACTCACTGCAGTTGTTAAGTTAGTAACATGGTTGTTAGGTGAATCTGGCTTCCCCACTGACTTTGCTTGTCAGAAGGTCCCAAAAAGGGATCATGTGACCCCTGGGTCACTTCAACCGTCAAAAACATGTACCGGTACCAGTTACCCAAATTTTGATCCTGTGATCACGAGGATGCTGCCACTGTCTTAAGTGTGAAAACAGTCATAAATTACCTTTTTCAGGTAACTTTGGTCACTAAATGCACGGTTGTAAGTCAAGGACTATCTGTATATCATACAATCTAGATATGAAGAAAACCTATTTTCTTATTTGAAAATATCCGATGTAAAAATTATTTTTCTGTTTGCTTTTTTGCAAGCTGACTTCTCTAACAGAGGACTAGTTTAATTTCATTTATATCACTGTTTTGTTTTTCTTACCTTTCAAGAAATTTATTACTTTCCCCCATTTTCCAGCATCAAATGGATGTAGTTTCTCCAGGCCAAGAAAGGAAATGTTGTAATCTGGTGAATATACAATAGGCCAGCATGTGGATGGAGTATCTTGATATAGTTCTGTACTATGAGGCCTTGAAGAAATAAATATAACATTAGACATTCAAAATACTGATGAGAATAAACCACATTTTACACATATACTTCTGAATTACATAACCCTTTTGATAAATTTATTAAGAATGTCATTCATATTTATCACATTAATTTCCTTTAGAAGTCAGCAGTGTTATTCAAATTGCAGGAAACAATGAGCCAAAATAATTAAATGCATTAAATTAATTTTATTATGTTCAGGAGCTCTGATTTTAAAAATCAAAAATATACAGAATTGTTTTACAGCATTTCTACAATTATTAAATTACCAATTATTAAAATCCAAACAATAAATTACTGAATTTTAATTCACTAGTGTCTAAAAGTTAGGATAGCAATAGCATTTAGACATATACCGCTTCAATTAAGTGACTGCTCTAAAATGGCAAGCATAAATACAGGTAGTTCTCAATTTATGGCCATTTGTTTAATGACCATTTGAAGTTACAACGGCACTAAATGACTTATGACAGATCCTTGCACTTGCAACTGTCACAACATACCCACAGTCATGTGATCAAAATTGCTCTTGGGATATATTTATGATGGTTGCAGTATCCCAGCGTCATGTATTTGCCATTTACAACCTTCCCAGGTGGCTTCCAAAAAGCAAAATCAATCGGGGAACTCATTTAACAACTGCATGATTCACTTAGCAACTGTAACAAAAATGTCATAAAATTGGGCATGGTTCATTTAACAACTGTCTTGCTTAGCAATGGAAATTTTGGGCTCAATTGTGGTTGTAAGTCAAGGATATATAATTTCTTATATATTAATATGAGAAAATTGTTTGCATCAAATAGTATATTTTATTTCAATTGCTATGGAGTAAACATTTTACACACAATGAACAGTTGCAGGAACTGGGGATGTCTAGTTTGACGAAGAGAAGGACTAGGGCTGACATGATAGTGGTATTCCAATATTTGAGGGGCTGTCACAGAGAAGAGGGGGGGTCAACCTATTCTCCAAAGCACTTGGGGGGCAGGACAAGAAGCAATGAATGGAATCAGGTCAAGGAAAGATCCAACCTAAAACTAAGGAGAAAATTCCTGACAGTGAGAAAAATTAACTAGTGAAATGGCTTGTCTTTAGAAGTCGTGGATGCTCCATCACTGGAGGTTTTAAAGAAGAGACCGGACAACCATTTGCCGGAAATATTATATTATAAGACATCCAAGGGGGTTGGACTAGATGACCTCCAAGGTCCCTTCCAACTTTATATTATTATTATTATTATTATTATTATTATTATTATTATTATTATTATTATTATTATTATGTATTCTGCAATATTATGCTCATCAGAACAGTTCACTTTCCCATTTTTCGCTCTACCGCGGGTTTCCGTGTGTGCACGCGTAGGTACGTACACAGGTGCACGCCTAACCCATGAAAGTTGTGAGACGATAAGACTGTCTCTATCGCCATTTTTATAAACATTCTTGAGCCAAGACATCCCAACAACTACCTCCAAGGCGTCTGGCTTCTCAAGACTAGCATGTTGTATAAACTGCAGCCCGGGTGGTAAATGGGTTTCGATCAAGCCCAGGACTCAAGTTGCAACCCGACCTCAGGGGCGACATGTCGTCCGCACCCAGCCATTGTGAGAGCACACAAATCCGTCCCAGCAACCGCTCCGAGGAACGACGCCGGGAGGACCCAGGACTCCGCCGCTCAGGGCTGTTCTCTTTCCTCCCACCTCCCGCAACATCGCAGCTTTAAAGGCGCTCCTGCTTTGGCATTGCCCCCCTTCCCGGTCTGGTCCCCCCGGGCGGCGCAGCTCTGCCGCAGCCGCCGTTTCCCCCGGGAGAAACAGCTCCTCGCCGGGGAAGTCCTGCGTCAACCCCCCCCCCCCCCCTTGCAACTCACATGCTGCCCTAAGCGAAGCTCCGTCCGAGCCCCCGAAGTGTCAAAGTCCTGCCCGGGTGCTACTGAGCATGCCCGGTTGTCCTTGAGCACGCTCAGACTCTTCCAACGAGGCCACTTGCCCTTATCTGAATCTTGCTTGCCCTGCCCTCGGCGTTCTTAAACACAGGCGGGATATGACGTTCCGTTGTGGCGTAGTTGGCAGGTTGTGTGAACCCAGAGTTATTGTTCACTGAATCAGCCAAATTCGACTTAAGTTGGATAACTGGCACTGTGAAAATTGGCTTATTTACGTAGTAACACGCTAATTATGTGCTATCAAGTCTTTTTCGACTTCTTCTAGCGACTGCACAGAATTTCTCCGGGTTACACTCGCTTTAAATAAATCAAAAATTTCAAACATCCTCGAGGGCAACTTCCCGTTATCCACAGACTGTTCTGCCCTTTCCTCTCATTTTAGTACAACCTGGAATCTCTGAATTATAACAGGATTAATTTTTTGCTAGTTTCTGTTTAAATCGGCATCCATATGTGAAATGGTAGAGGCCAGGTCTGCTTGAGCAAGGGGTTGAACTAGAAGACCTCCAAGGTGCCTTCCAACGCTGGTATTCTGTTATTGTTCAGATTCATCAGGGTGCAATTAGTATACAGGTGGGGACCAAAAATGGAATTGCACTTATCATACTGACCAAAGGTGAGCCTATACTTAACTCATTTCTAATCACTGCTGTTTTGAAAACTATTAGAGAGGTACAAAAAATGCAAAAAAACAAAACAAAAAAACACCCCAACCAAAATATTAATGGGTTGGAGTAGCATTCATATAAACAAAGATTTATATACTGTAAACAGCAACTGAATTTCTAGGTTGGAACAAGAGAACATAAGAGGAAACATGATAAAAAAATATTTGAAGTAATGTAAAACATAGAGAACATTTAAGGTTTCTTCTCTGTCATGCCCAATATTAGAACTCAACAAAGTCATCCATCAGATGTAAAGCAACCCCCATCCCCCACCTCCAAAAAAAGGGAACATCTTTCCACAACATATAGTTAAATTGTGGAATTAGCTATAGGCAGTTATGATAATGGTGGTCAGTTAGGATTTTATGAATGATCAGGCTATCAATGACTCCCAGTATTGATGGTTATTGATAGTTATATTTTGATATATTGATAACTTCCAGTATTGATCACTATTTACTCTCTTGTGAATCACAGCTGCCTTCAATAATACTAACTGCTGGGAAAGAAATTATTCCCCTATAGGCTTGTAAGCTTGAAAATACATCTAACAGGCCACACTATCAGATTGCTGGATAGAATGGTATGATAGGCTGATCTACTGTGGTCATATTTTCTTTAAAAGCACAAAATTAACAAAGACAATAAAGTTTATGAAAACAGCATTAAATGCAGCATTTGTCATGTGACCACAATTTATGATTATTATTTTTTGTCAGAAACTGGCAAAAACACTGATGGGAATACAATGATTCGCTTAATGATTGCCATGTTCACTTAACACCTGTGTTGTTTGCTTAATGACCACTGCAAAAAAAGTCATAAAAATCTAATCCTATTACATGGGGATTTCAGTGTAGAATTGTGTCATCACTTATAATGGAAATTTCATATTCCATTACAATCAGAAGTAGAGACCTATTCTCCTTTATTGGGAGGACTATCTGCATTAGACTCTGCCTTCCATCCTTCCAAGGTCAGTAAAATGAGGACTCGGATTGTTGGGGGCAATATGCTGACTCCGTAAACCCATAAACCGCTTAGAGGGCTGTAAAGTGCTTTTGCTATTAGCATTGATAGCAGGACTGTCTTTGAAGGAAACTTGCTGGAATAGGCAGGCCACTGCCTTCTAGAGAACCAGTTAGTGTGGCGCTCACCTAGGCTTGCCTTAGGCATGAAAATTGGGTGACTTTGGGCCAGTCACTCTCTCAAGCACAACCTACTTCACAAGGTTGTTGTAGGGAAAAGAGGAGGAAGGAGCATTATGTGTAGTATTAGACACATGTACACTGTCCAGACTCAAACTTGGTGAGATGGGCTGCTATATAAAGTAGATAAATGTTTGCTACCCTAAGTTATACATTTAAAAGGCAGAATAAAAATATATAGTAATATAGGATGGTGTTTTGTTTGGCTTTTTCAACTTTCAGGTCTAGCCTAAAGCTATGGGATTACTTAGTACTCTCCCAACCAAATACTAGCCAGGTCTGGACCTTGCTCCCCACTTAGCATTTCAGAATCATCTGTTCTTGCAAAAAATCTTATATTTAAAGACTCACACAGATGGTGACATGCTCTTCTTTGTTAGGCATATTTTTCTGAATTAACAACTTTGATAAAATTTGGAAGAAGAAAAAGTTACTCTCAAAAAAAAAAGGTTTGTTTTGGAAACTCCATCAGAAATTGTAGTTTTTTTTAGTTGGCATCTAATTCCCCTCTCCCCCCCTCCCCGTGGCCCTTTAAGAGAACCCCAAAGTGCGACTACAGAAGTAATCTGGCAACAGTCGCAGTATCAACAGCCAAAATTAGTCAAGAAAAGTCTGAAAGAGTTGAGCAGGAACAGCGCGTTCGCATGCATTAATATATTTCCATGTAGTTCTAAAGCAGCATCTCCTTTCTCCATTCGCCTTCATTCTTTCTCACACTCCCCAGATAATGTTTTTCTTAAATCCCTCCAACAAATGGTGGTGAAACAAAAATATGCACGCCTTTCACCATGCATCGCGATTTTAAAACTCTCAGCAACCCTGCTGTTAATATCATTTGCAGAAGCAAAGACGGATTCCACGCACGAACTTTCTTATAGAGTTTTCGAAAATCGAAATTCGGTAATAATTCGAAATCACAATCATCTTCTTTTCCACGCTGGAGAAAGCCCAGTAGAGACCAGGAAGTGTAGAAAAATGGGAGCGGCGGGAGATAAACTCTCCAGGCAGCCCCACCGCATGAAAGATCCGATTCATCTCGCAGGTCTGATCATTTACCCCACGCGCGGACACATCTGCTTGGGAAGCGCTGGCCGCGACGCTTTCCCCTTCCTGTTTGCAGAAGCAGCGCTCTCCACTTCCCCGCTTTGCCTATTGGTTCACGGCGTGGCTGCTTCCACCCTTCCCTGAAAGAATCCATTCAATGATCGGTGGCTGTGACGTGGCAAGCGGGGGTTGGCTCTTCCGAGTGTCTGAAAGAGACCCTTCCAAGTCCGGATCGAAGCTCCGCCCACGAAGTTACTCCTGACTATCAACTGTTCATGTGAACACTCGCTTGTGCAGAAGGTTCCATCTTGGCTTTCTTTTTGGGTCCTGCTCTTCTATGCCACCTTTGTTTATTATCTCTCCAAAGACAGGTTCTAAGTCTTCTGGGGGAAATCTGGCACTTTGGGGGCAATTATAGAGCATCTGGGCACTGTGGAGTTTGCATTAATCAGGCTCAAGCAGAAATGCCACATACCCCTCGCCAACGGTTGCAGCCTCGAGCTCCAGTTTGGTCAGAGACGGAAACTCGAGACTTCCTTGCCCTCTGGGGTGAACTGCTGATTTTGAGGTGGATTGAAAACCGGCCACCAAACAGTGACATCTATGAGGATCTCTCAGCCCAGATGATAGCCAGGGGTCACGAGCGCAACGCTTCGCAGTGTAGGAACCGAGCCCGGGATCTGAAGCGAAGTTATCGGAGAGCCAAAGATGCCCAGATCTGTGCTGGAGCAGAACCCGTGTCTTGCCGTTATTTCCGAGAGTTGGATCAGATGTTTGGAGGTGAAATGGATAGTGTCACCAACCGGAGCTTGGTCAGCATGGATGGATCCATGCGGGTGGTGATAAAAAGAGAAGACGCAAAAGACATGGAGGCCCAGGCCTCCGAGGAAGAGAGCAACCAAATGACACCCCCAAACACTCTCTCAAGTATGGATGCAGACACAGACACGGAAACCGAACCGAACGTGGGGATCCCACGAGAGTTAGTGACAGTGATAGATCCCAATGTGATTGAAACCACAATAGTTGAGGAAGGTCCTGAAGAGAAGGCGGTGCCCTTGTGTGGGCAACCCATTCCACGCTGCAGTGAAGATGGGCACCACACTGCTATTGGTGAGCAAAAGCCATTTTTCTTCAGTGGCATTTTGTTTTTCAGCCATCTCGTACCCTTGGGTTTAAGTTAGTTACAGGTGGGGAGACAAGCACAGTCTGAGATTTAAGTTCAAAGAAGGAGCCAGGCTGAAAATAAGTGTTGTGCATTCCCACCTCAGTTTGCCAACAGAGTCAAATGTACTTGTGGTTTTTGTGATGTGCTATGTTTTATTTTAAAAAGTAGAAGAAAGGAGGATGAGAGCCATTTGACCAAAAAAGGTAAGAGGTATTTGGTAAGGAGGTAAGTTAGATTTTCATTCTAGCAACCAATCAGCTGTTTCCCCTGTAGTCTCAGTTCCACTTTGTCAAAATGATTGTCTGTGTGATAACGGTAGATACATTGAGAGCCAGTTTGATGTAGTGGATAAAATGCTGGCCTAGAAACCAGGAGACTGTGAGTTCTAGTCCCATTTTAGACATGAAAGCCAACTGGGTGACTTTGGGCTAGTCATTCCCTTTCAGCCCAACCCACCTCCTAGGGTTGTTGTAGTGGGAGACAAAAAAAGGAGGAAGTGGGGAAAAGAGAAGGAGGAAGAAGTTTTCCAACTTACTCAAACCAAATCAGGTTGTAGACTGCCCTCAATCCCTGTTCCTGGAAAATAAGAGAATCCAGCAATCTCAGGCTACCTCACCTTTGCTGCCCTGTTGTTGGAGCAGCTAACCGGATGGATTCATGGGGCAGTAGATAGTATTGTCCAGATGCCTAACCCATTTCTCCCTTACAGGTAGAGGCAGGCGAGATAAGTCCTTTGGTCATCCCCTGACAACAGCAGAAAGGATGGCATCTATGCGGGAGAGGAAGAGGCGGTCTCATGAGGAGATGATGCATGAGATCATGACCGACTACAGGAGGACCTGGGAGACCATGGAGGCTCTTCACGAGAGGAGTGAAAACAACGCTGGGGACTTCCGTGAAGCAGTGCTGAGGGAAATGCTTCTGGACAGACAGGCTCGGACACGGGAGGCCCATCTAGATCGTGAATCCCGGACAAGGGAGGCCCAGTTGGATAGAGAGGCCAGGTCTAGGGACAACCAGCTGGAGAGAGAGATTAGGATTAAGGAGCTCAGTATGATTGAAGCCGAGCTTCAGCGCACCAGGGACATCCTCCATCCGATGGTTGATGCTGTGGCATCTATGGCAGAGGCCTTGCGTATGGCTAGCAGGATATTGCCGCCGTCACAGCCCGCACAGCAAGCGAGGGGTGGAGTCTTTTTGGAATCAAAGGAAATCAAGTAATTTCTGTCTCTTTCAGCTATAAAACTGTTATCTTGAACGGGAAAGAAGGCTAGCAGGACATGAAGGGAGAAAAAAAAAACCAGTGCTTTCTAAAGTGCAAAAATCAGGGGATTTTTTAAATGGTATTTTTATCTTGCCCAGTTGAGCCCAGTTGAGCCAGGTTTACCTGCTCTCTCAGTTTGCCCATCCTGTGGAATAGAGAGATAATGTACATCTAGATGGTTTGGTTTGGGAAAGAAAAGAAAAAAAAACTTTAGAAAAGATATTACAGTAGCTTATTGATAAGAGCCTTCTTTTTTCTTACAACCCAATCCAGCTGACTGCTTATTGGGGGCTCCTTCTAGAGAGACTTTATCCGAACGCAGGCTTTAGAAAGCAAAATGCTTGCATATTTTTCACAAGGGTGTATTGTTTGTACAGGTAGTCCTCGACTTACAGCAGTTTGTTTAGCGACTGTTCGAAGTTACCACGGCACTGGAAAAAAAATGATTTATGACTGTTTTTCACACAACTGTCGCAGCATCTCCATGGTCATGTGATCAAAATTCAGACGCCTGGCAACTGACTCATACTTTGCAGTGTCCCAGGGTCATGTGATCACCTTTTGTGACCTTCCGACAAGCAAAGTCAATGGGCAAGCAAGATTTACTTAACAACCTGTGTTATTAATATAACAATTGCAGTGATTCACTTAACTGTTGCAAGACAGGTGGTAAAATAGGGCAGAATTCACTTTAACAATTGTCTTGCTTAGCAGTGGAAATGTTGAGCTCAGTTGTGGTCTTAAGTTGAGGACTAGCTATATGTGTTTGTATATGCTAGGTATGCATCACTCACAGCGTTTCCTTTCCAAATCCTCACGGGCAGGCTTCATTTTTCTACCAGTTAGTGGAGACAATCAATAGAGAAGAGTTGCTGCCTTCACATGCACTGGTAACCTTCCCCGAAGCAACTACCGTAAGTGGCTGCTTCCCAAACCAAGTGCTGGGCTGGAAGAAGCCTTCATCTGATTTAGCTTCTCCTTCCAAGTCTCCCTCATATATGTAAGCATTGAACATGGCTCTCTTAGAGTCCTCATGGGCTGAGTTCACAGTGAATCCAAAGCTAGGTTAAAAAAAGAAGAAGCCACAATTGCTGTATTCATATAACCGGCTGTGCTCCAGTGAACCATATGATGTTTTTAATCTGATGGCCCATTTCACAGAATATGGTCCACTTCCTCTGTGGTCGCTCTCAATTGGTGTTGATAGGAAGCGAGAAGTTTTGCCCTTGTTCCCTGCTTTGTGGGATCTTGTAAGGCTCAGTAGTTTCTCTACTTCTGTTTAACACAGGGATCTTCAAACTTGGCCCTTTTATGACTTATGGACTTCAACTCCCAGAATTCCTCAGCCAGCATGCCTGGCTGAGGAATTCTGGGAGTTGAAGTCCACAAGTCATAAAAGGGCCAAGTTTGAAGACCCCTGGTAACATCTATATGAAACCACTGGGTGAGATCATCTGCCGCCCTGGGATGAGATAGCAATTTGTTGATGACACCCAGCTATATGTCTCAGCGTATGGTGAATTAAGCAATTCTGTGACCTTCTTGCATTGCTTGGAGACTGTTAAGGGCTGGATGGGGAGCAACGAGCTGAAGCTGAACCCTGGCTAGATGGAATGGCTCTTGGTTCATAGAGAATTGCCATCTTTGGTCTTGGATGAGGTACCACTGCCCCAGACAGACCTGGTGCATAATTTGGAGGTTCTCCTGAACTCATGATCCCTGCTCAAGGAGCAGGTGGTAGTTGTAGCCAGGAAGCCCTCTGTGCCACTATGGGCTGTGTGCCAGTTATGCCCTTACCTGAACCAACAATTCCTGCTCATAGTTATCCATGCCTTAGTCACCTTCTGTCTTGACTATTGCGATGTGTTCTTCGTAGGCTGCCCTTGAAAAGTATCTGGAAGCTTCAATTCGTTCAAAATGGGCTGGCCCACATGGTTCTGTACAGGCTTATGTGTCATCTCTCCTGCAGGAACTGCATTGGCTGTCAACTTGCTTCCAGGTCCAAGTCAAGTTGTTACCTTTAAAGCCCTACATGGCTTGGGATCAGGTTATTTGAAGGACGGTCATACCTACCCAACCAATCAGATCGGGGGCTAAGGGAATGTTATGGGTCTCCTCTCCTAAGGAGGTCCATCTCTAGTGGGACCAAAAAGCAGGGCCTTCTCTGTGAGGGCTGCTTCCCTGTGGAACATCATCCCACAGATGATAAGATCGCCCACTCGCCCCCACTTTTAACACTCTTTCACAAGGCCCTTAAGTCCTGGTTTGCCAATGCGTTTGTGCACCCCAGAGTGCAATGGAGCCCATCAAATGGCTCACGTGATTGTTGCTGATTGGGGGTGGGGGTGGGAATTATTGCTTTTTATTGTTTCTGTATTGGGCTTTAACCCTTGTGAGCTCTCCAGAGTCACTGAGAGTGAGCTGGGCAGCCATATAAATTTTCTTAAATAAATAAATATGGCTCAGTTTCCACACCCTACTGGATCACACATATTTAACTTCATTTTAGCCTACTCTGGTGTGTCAGCTAGAGTTAGTTAATCTATTGGGGAGCATGTGTGTGCAGGAAACAATAGGTTATGATTTCTGAAGCCCCATCTAGCTGTTCTGAAAACTAGAGTACACCCAGTATCACCCAACCAGCATCACTCAGATTACATCTGTAGGGAAAAGCCTTTCTGCTTTTGATATAGTACAATACAGGACATTGAGCTTCATTAGCTTCTTCCAAGAAGACCATTCTTTGTTCAAAACCAAGTTCTTTACTTAGAGCGCTATTGGGTATGCCCTAATGGAGACAAAAGCCACAGAAATCCAACACTGTAAAAAGAAATTATATTTTTATTGAGCAAGATATCCAAGACATTGCATTTGACAAGACACAGTGAAAAGACCATTTAAATTAGTATTAATTTTCCAAGGATTTACATTTTTATAGTCAGAATAATGTAGTCAGTAATATTTTAGTATCTTTCTAAGGTGAATGGTTGTACTTACAATCCATTCATTTAGAGATGGTTTCAATTTAAGACAACCTTGAGGAAAAAAGTGATTTTGCACTTATGACCATTGCATTACCCCCACATTTATGACAAGTTGCAGGAATCTGCAGTCATGGGATCCCAATTTGCGACCTTCCCAGCTGATTCCTGAGAAAAACATCAACTGGGAAAGCTGGATTCGCTTAACGACTGTGATAAAAAATGGTCATAAAATTAGGTCCACTCGTGTCATGACTTGATTTACCACCACCCAATTTATGACAAAAATTCCAGTTTCAACTGTGGTGGTAAATTGAGGATATCTATTTATAAATGTCAAAGCAATTTGGACTCTTGCCTCATTGCTACACATGGTTGACTCCTAAAATTGATAAGCATGCACTGAAGAATTAAAAACAAACGCTAAAAAGAAACCACATTCTCTTCCCAGATGTTTATTTCTATTGGCATTCCTTTAATTCTTTTATAGGACAATTAGTATGGCCCCTAAAATGCTAGGTCATGAAATATTTACTAGTCTGCTGTCTCCTATCTGGTATTCTCCAGATGTGCTCAATTATAACTCCCATATTCCACCAGCCATTTAAATGACACTGAGTAAAGCAGTGGTGGCGAACTTATGGCACGCGTGCCAAAGGCGGCACTCGGAGCCCTCTCTGTAGGCACATGTGCCGTTGCCCCAGCCTCACCTCCCCCCACGACCCCCTCCTCACCAGCAGCCCCTCAGAGGAGAGTCGCCCCCGAGTGTGGCCCACACAGAGCAGCGCAGCCAAGGACATGGCAGCCAGGCAGCATAGACAAGACTCTGCCCTCATGCCCAATCGCACACAGTTGATGCTGCGGGGCGCAGGCAGAGGGCGTGGCCATCATGGCGCTGCCGGGCTGCCTGGGTGATCTGCGGTGGGCCCTGGAGGTGGTGAGTGGCCCTGCGGGCAGGCGGGGTAGGAGCGGGGCGGGGGGTAGAGCAGGGGCGGGTCCAGTTTTTGGGCACTCGGTCTCTAAAAGCTTCGCCATCACTGGAGTAAAGAAAGACTGAGATGGATTATTAGCACTCAGTGGGCAACAATACACTTCTTGTCCTCAGCTTCATGCGCGCGCACACACAAATAGATTGAAAATAGATTTCAACATCAAACAATGACCTATCACTAAGATCTTTACACGAACTTATTGGGGGAATTCATCCAGAGTCTTCAAATTAGGTGCCACCCACATGTTGAGGAAATCCTGCTCTACTGTACCCAGTTTTCAAGGAAAGAATTGGTAACCCCAAATGTTGCTTAACCTGATCGTAGGCTGGATGAGAGAAAACAAGTTGAAGTTAAATCCAGACAAAATCAAAGCTGCTGTTCGTATGGAAAAAGAAGGACTCTGGGATCGGAGAGAAGCTTGTCCTGCAGAGGGTTGCAACCCCCAGGAGCAGGTTGGGATCTGGAAGTGCCGCTCGATCTCCATCTGTCACGGGACTTGCCAGATGGCGACTTTGCCAAGAAAAACATTTGCACAGTGACAAGCCACTGCATCAATTACAACTCTTCCCGAGCCAGGTGGACTGTGACAAAGTTGACCATCTGCCTTAAATGTGATGCATGTGAGGCTATGCTTAAAAAGGGTCTAGAAATTGCAAACACTACCAAGCAGGGCAGCTAGGCTGCTGACCGCTATAGTGTCAGAAATCATATGATTCTTGTAATAAAGATCATCAATTGCTGGTATTTTCTGGGAATAATTCAAGGTATTCTAAATTTTTTTAAATAAAAATTATAACAAAGGAATAATTCAAGGGGGGTACTTTCTCACAGCTTAGGGCAGTGGTGGCGAACCTTTTAGAGACCGAGTGCCCAAACTGCAACCCAAAACCCACTTATGCATCGTCGGGTGCCGGGTGGGTGTGGCCCATTGGGTGGGCGTGGCCCATTGGGTGGGCGTGGCTGCAGTGGTAACAGCAGACTGGGTGGGATTAAAAAGTTCAATCAATCAATTCCAACTTTGCGAGATCTTTTTTTTTCCCGCGAGAAGTTGAAATTGACTGATTGATTGAACCTTTTTTTTTTTGTACACGGCGGCGGAGGCCTAAAGCGAAAAGGTTTTATAAAACCCAGCTGAAGGCCTAGGACTGGGGCGATGGCGCGCGTGCCCACAAAGAGGGCTCTGAGTGCCGCCTCTGGCACCCGTGCCATAGGTTCGCCACCACTGGCTTAGGGCTTCATAGTCTATGGCAGAGGTCGCAACCTTTTGGGCACCAGGGACCGATTACATGGGGAGAGGTTTTTCTGCAGACCGGAGGGGGCATGGTTTTGTCTGATGACTGCATCCCGCGGATGGGGCTTTGCTTGTTTGTGCGGCCTGGTTGCTGGCATGCCGCAGCCCGGTACCGGTCCACGGCCCGGGGGTTGGGAACCCCTTGTCTAGGGGATCACCTCTCTTGCTACGAACTTGACTGTTCAGATTAGCAGGAAAAGCTGTTCAGAAGATGCACTGCTGTCAAAGTTTCAACCATCTGGTACATGAAAAGTGCCTTCTCCTGCATGGTTCCAGGGTTTTTTTTAAAATTATAATTGTTTCCCTTGTGTAGTTAAAAAGTTAATTCAAACAGGTAAATTCTTTGTAAATTAGCGTTGTAAATGGCTACATTTGGTTTTGAGGAGAGAGTGGAGGATAGCCACTCCGTAGGATCTCTGCGGGTACATCTGTTAAGGTGAGAGTAGTAACGGTTTAGTCTGGCAAGCTTCTGTCTGTTGCAAGGGTCCTCAAACTTGGCCACTTTAAGACTTGTGGACTTCAACTCCCAGAATTCCCCAGCCAGCCACAAGTCTTAAAGTCGTCAAGTTTGAGGACTCCGGTCTATTGGGTGTAAGCAAATAAAGAACTGAACTCTGACTGAATTGTTCTATGTCAATCTTGGGCTTAGCCTAACAGGCGGAAGAGAAAATGGTAAAAAGTAAAAATCCAAGCAAACGACCAGTATCAGAATATCTTTTAAAAATGTATTTTAGCATTGTACACTCTCCAACTTATTGCAAGTACTTTAAAACTACTATATAGAACATTCTAATAATCAATGTTACCGGTATGTATAGAAGAGTTGCTGCAATGAGTAATGCTTAAAAATGTAATACTGATTGACTTTGGCCCTTTTATGACTTGTGGACTTCAACTCCCAGAATTCCTCAGTCAGGCACGCTGGCTGAGGAATTCTGGGAGTTGAAGTCCACAAGTGATAAAAGGGCCAAGTTTGAAGACCCCTGACTTAATATTTACAATTGGCTTAATATTTACATTTAATATTTTCAGTCCCTTGGTCTTAGGGCAGCAGACAGCATCCAATACTACAGTAGTCCAACACTGGATAACCAATGACCTTCCAGATGTTGTTAATCTGCAATTTCCACCATCTCTCACTGGTGGCCATAATGCCAAATGCTGTTGAACACTGGAACTCAATAACAGTGAAGAAAGCCATACACTATCATGGTTACACATAAGCACATTCAAATCAATGGTACAGGTTAGTTACAGTTACCTTAGGTTTCTCTGATTTCAGTGGGGTTTTTTTAAAGTATGACTAAGTCTGGATCCATTATAGTAATAACAACAATCTTAAAAACAACCTGGAACCTAGATCAAATATTCAAAAATTAAAATAAAATCACAAAAGGCATGGAAAGAGAGGTAGAACAAAATGCTTCTTTTAAAAATACCAGTTTTGAGCACTATTAAAGGAAGGGTCAACAGGTCACTTGGAGCAGGGAATTCCACAAATTGGTGTCACACAAGGGCAAATAACAAGGTTCCTGAGGAGCACAGCTGGGGACAGTCTTTTGAATAATGTAGACAATAAGCAGTACTTTGGATGGTGCTCAGAAGCAAGTCTAACCAATTACGTTGAACAAAACTGCAGCTATATATTAATTTAAACAAAGCATACTTCAACTTGCATTTGTAATCTCGATGCATTCACTATCTACTGAAGTTTGCAGAGGCAACCTCATATAGAAAGCGTTAGAGAAAATCTAGGGATTGTACATTAATAAGGGTGAATTCTTGATTTACTACACTCTGAAATTCCAAAGTTGCCTCCATACATAGTCTAGGACAGGGGTAGGCAACCTTGGCTCTTTTATGACTCGTGGACTTCAACTCCCAGAATTCCTGAGCCAGCATGGCTCAGCTTGGAAACCTCTCTCTTTCCCCTCAGCATGGCAGGCTCAGGAATTCTGGGAGTTGAAGTCCACGAGTCATAAAAGAGCCAAGGTTGCCTACCCCTGGTCTAGGATTTGTAGAGGAACAAGGATTGCCCTATGGCCCTACCTCTATATCACATCTTTATTCTAGCATTCCATGTGATATAACTTTTTTTGTTTGTAGAAATATAAGATTTCCCTTACAAATCTAAACATAGCAAACTCTCAAGCCAAAAGGGAACAAAGCATCAAGGACGTATTCTGCGGTGGAGGTTCAACTTCCCTCTTTCTCTCTATGCCTTGGTGGGACTTTGGAAAGAGGGCTATATATTTCATTCAGGCTAAGAATCTTTATCAACACATTAAGAATTTTTAAGCATTTTCCTATAGTTACTATACATCTTTTACATTTCAAACTACAGTATTATTTTCTCATAAAATTGAAAAATGAATATTAAAGTACATTAAGTCTTAGCTCTCTGGCATTTTTATAGTTACTGTAGCCTTATTAACCCCTAATTTCAGTCCTCTTGTTCTATCCACTGCTCTTGGCTGTCACTTCTCTTTTTGCTACACATCTTGAAATATCGGACATGTAAGTACAACTAGAACTTCAAAATCCTAAAATAGGTCCACTGCTTCTGGACACAGAGATGACGACACACATTGTTCTTCAAAAGCTACTATTTAGAGAGCAAAGATGATGCTAATATTAATAGCCTATTCAGAATTGTCTTTAGAAATTAAGTTTTCTGCCCAATATGGATTCTCTGGTGAGAAATAAGGTGCGATTTCTGATTGAAATTCTTCCCACAGTTGGGACATTTATACGGTTTCTCTCCAGTATGAAGCCGTTGATGAATAACAAGCCCAGAATTGAAGCTAAAACTCTTTCCACAATCCTGGCATGTATATGGTTTCTGCCCTGTGTGAATGCCTTGATGCGAAATAAGATGTGATCTCTGATTGAAGCTCTTTCCACAGTCAGAACATTTATATGGTTTCTCCCCAGTGTGAATCCGTTGATGTATTATGAGACCAGAGTTGTAACTGAAGCTTTTTCCACAGTCAGGGCATTTGAAGGATTTCTCTCCCATATGGGTCCTCTGATGCGAAAGGAGATGAGATTTTTGGCTGAAGCTTTTCTCACAGTTGGAGCATTTATACGGTTTCTCCCCGGTGTGAATTCGCTGGTGTATTATGAGCCCAGAGTTGTAACTGAAGCTCTTCCCACAGTCAAAGCATTTAAATGGCTTCTCACCTGTGTGGGTCCCATGGTGAGAGGTGAGATGGGATCGCTGGTTGAAGCTCTTGTCACAATCAGGGCATTTATACGGCTTCTCTCCTGTGTGGATTCTCTGATGGACCATGAGTCCTGAGTGATTGCGGAAAGTTTTCTCACAAATAATGCAGAGATACGGCTTCTCTCCTAAATGGACAATTTGAGGCCTATTGAGGCCTACATTCTGGCAGAAGCTGTTTTCCTGTTTGTTAGGGGCAATTTTATTTTCTCCAATGTGGATCAGTTGCTGGATTACTATTTGGTCAAGGCGTTTTAAATTCCCCTCCTTGCACTGACCAGCTTTGCCTTGCGTTTTATCAGAAGCAGCTTTTTCTCTTCTCTCTGGCAGTAGATTGTAGTGAATTTCAGTCCCCCTTTCCTGTTTACATCTTTGAGAGCCAGTCTCTTTAGATCCTCCTCTAAACATCACCTGCATTTCTACATGCTCTGGTTCTTCTTTTACGGATGTCTGCTTCTCAGTCTTGGTTGCCATCCCATCACCTGTTGAAGTAAACCAGATTTTAAACAAAAAAGATGGCTTCCAATCTTTTCCACCCATAATGTTAAACAATAATAACATAGGAATGAAAAAGAGAATCCATTAAAAGTTTCAAGTGACATTATTCCTTGAATGTAACCCAAGAATAAACTCCAAAATTATATTACAGCAAAAACAATGTCAGTTAGTAGAAATTCCAAATGCACAATTATAAGTTGAGGAAGATAAAGCTGACGTATGGAAAGCCAACAGCATCTTTCCATTTTACTCCATTGATACGTGCTGAAGGATGATTAGACAAAGAGTTGTATTTATCTTTTAAAACAATAACCAAAATAAGCACTCTGTTAGAGAATGTTTGCTTATCTAAGATTTCAGATTCAGAAACTGGCAGGATCTTCTAAACAAACTACTGTACACATAATTTCATACTCCAAGTATCAGATTTAAAATAATCCATGGGAAATGGAAGTAAATTTTGCTTGGGCTGCAATTCTGTGGTGTTGGAAAACATTGGTAATTTCCAGTTTAGTTTATACCCAGAACATGCTCAATCAACCTCTATATCCACATCAAAGCAAGAATATGTACCATTCAGTTCAGCTAGAAAAAATATAACTTGGAATTATTAAGCATCAGCAAATATCACATACAGTTAACTGGCAAAACCTGGATCAAAATTAGGCAAATGCTGGGAGGGACTCAAACAAGAATTTACATTACAGATATTTCTCAACTTATGACCACAATAGGGACTGGAAAATTTGTTATTCAGGAGTGTAGTCATTAAACAAATCTTCATGTGACTGTATCCAATTTTTATGACACTTTTTGCCACAGTCATTAAGTGAATCATCAGCAGTCTTTAAGCAAGACATCACATGACCATGACTTGCGACTACCTACTGGTTCCCTCCCTCATTTTGCCTTGATGTTGCAAGTGTCATAGTTACATGACAGATGCCAAGTGCCTGAATCACAATCACATGACCATGGGAATACTGTGACAGTCTTCAGTGCCAAGATCAGTTGTAAGCTACTTTTTTCAGTACATTCGTCAACTTCAATCACTAGAAGAACGGTCATTAAGCAAGGACTACCTGTATCTGTATGTTTTAGCTATATATCAAAAGGTCACAGTCACAGAAATTATGCTGAGGGTAATTAGCATAAGTCACAGAAATTATGCTGAGGGTAATTAGCATAAGTCCCCAAGGGAGTGGCCTTTGCTTATTGCAGCTTTAATTCCTTTAAGTACATAATAGGAACAGACTACAAATGGAAAATAGGACACAAGGTGATCCAGTTTCAATTCTGCACCACAAAGGAAACAACTTGATGAGGACGATGTGTGTAGCATGTGGAAGGAAAGCTGAAATTCTCTCCCCATCTGCACTATTTTCCTTTGAAAATTCATTCTAGGAGGCAGTATGAAAAATGCCTCTGAAAAGCCCATAAGCAAATGCTTCAAAGCAGCAACTGTTTCTTGCCACAGTACTCTACAAATTAATATTCAATGGTACACTGTCACTGGACAAAACACGTAGCCTTCTTGCCAAAATCAGGCATCACTAAAAGCTTGTGCCCCATAGAACCATCAGACATGTAGACCATTCATATTTCCAGCAATATCACATATAAACTGGAGCTTTTAGCATTTATTTGTGATAAACATATAACACAAGGAATCATATAAATCTCCAGCCATTTGGTGAAAGCTCAGCAGCAGTTTGCAAATGAGTGTCTCTAGCACAGTGATGGCGAACCTTTTAGAGACCGAGTGCCCAAAAACTGCCCCGTCCCTGTGTCTCCTGCCCGCAGGGCCATCCACCACCTCCATGGCCCACCACAGCAGATTGCCCAAGCGGCTCAGCAGCGTCATGGTGGCTACGCCCTCTGTCCGCGCCCCACAGCATCATCTATACACAATGGGGCGCGAGGGCGGAGTCTTGTCCCTGCTGCCCAGCTGCCATGTCCTTGGCTGCACTGCTCTGCACAGGCTGCGCCCATGACGACTCTCCTCCGGGGAGGCTGCTGGTGAGGAGGGGGCCACGGGGTGGTGGTGGGGCTGGGGCTACGGCGTGCGTGCCCACAGAGAGGGCTCTGAGTGCCACCTCTGGCACCGTGCCATAGGTTCGCCACAACTGCTGTAGCACATATCTGCAATATCGTTAGCGATAGACTGATACACATGCATATAATAGCAGAGTAGTATTCCAAAAGAAAGATCATAATTAGTTAAGTTTATTGCCAAGGAACTAAGAAGTTAATATGCCATTATAGAAACTATATACGCCAAACTCTAACACTCATTTATTAATGAATTCTTTAAGGTGAAGGAATCCAAAAATTGTCTGAACTTCCTGTTTCTTGAATGGTAATCTGTCCAAGAAATTGACATTACTGTTTACCTCAAATTTGAAAATAAAAGAGAAGATCTTTAAATCAGTTGATTCCTAATGGTTTTTACTATTTTGAGATTGACTTGTCTGCCTATGTGCAATATGATATATACAGCTGAAACATATATTAATCAATCAGCTTGGCTCAAATGTTTTAGCAATCTCTGAGGTACCTGTAATTTTAGCTTCATTATAAGATGCAGTGTTTGAACCCAAAAAGTGAAATGAAAGTCAAAATTAATTAAATATTTGAAGCCTGGAATGAAAAATTGGAATATCCAGTTTTGGAAAATCAATTGGTTCAGGTATTAAAAATGTAAAATATACATCTTATGATTCATAAATAAAACATAATCATCAGAAAACGTTATTTGGTGTTTACTGGACTGCTCAATTAATGTTTTAAAAAGGACAGACGTTATGTTCCTTGATGTTTGAAGGCCCTTTAACCCATATGATTTGGTCTTGTTCTGTCACAGCCTTATTTGTGTTTAGAGTTATCAAAGTATGTTTATGTAATAGTGAGAAGAAGTATTAAGAATCTCAAAGTGATACTGAATTATATCCTTAAAATGGGATTTGTCATCTCATTAAGACTTTTGAGCTTGAGGTAAGGGAAGAAAGATAACTTTTAAATAATTGGATAAAAGCATACTTTCCTGATTTTAAGGAAAGGATTCGGAATATGAATTACCTGTTTTTGAAAAGCCTCTTATGTTCTAAAAGTAAGATGAGCATATGTTGTGATATGGTCTATATTTAATAGTAGTAGTAGTAGTAGTAATAATAATACTAATAATAATACTAATAATAATACTAATAATACTAATAATACTAATAATACTAATAATACTAATAATACTAATACTAATAATAATAATAATAATAATAATAATAATAATAATAATAATAATAATAATAAAAGTTGGAAGGGACCTTGGAGGTCATCAAGTCCAACCCCCTGCTCAGGCAGGTAACCCTATACCATTTCAGACAAATGGCTGTCCAGTTTCTTCTTAAAAACTTCCAGTGTTGGAGCATTCACCGCTTCTGGAGGCAGGTTGTTCCACTGACTAATTGTTCTAACTGTCAGGAAGTTTCTCCTTAGTTCTAGGTTGCTTCTCTCCTTGATTAGTTTCCATCCGTTGCTTCTTGTCCTGCCTTCAGGCGCTTTGGAAAATAGCTTGACTCCCTCTTCTCTGGATTAATTTTTATGTTTATTTATATTATATGGATTTTTCTGTTACCTTTTTCTTCTTTTTGTCACACTTAGTTTATTTTAATCACTATAACAGATTTATCTTTTTTTCACTGAATAAACACTAAAGCTTCTGTTATGCAGTCTTTTTAAATATTTCACCATTTCAAATCAAATTAAAAAAGGCTGATCCTGGAATATCCATCAGATCATTGTCAATAATGTTGAGATAATCCTATTTCTTTTTCCGACTGAGATCTCACCTCTGTTGCGGACTGATGATAGAGAATAAATTACAGTACTGTTTCATATTGTTTTGTCTCAAATTGTTTAAATATTGTATATCATAAATAAAGTTCAGCACCATCAATTAATTAAACATATAAATAAAATGGTGATCCATGTGGGACTAGAGGCCACTTTCCGAGCAATTCCATTTATCATTCCGAAGAGCTGAAAGCTTAATCAAAATAATTATGGATTATTTATTCAGGATTTATTTTCTCTATGAGTAAATTTACATAATCTAGAGCAGTGTTTCTCAACCTTGACAATTTTAAGGCATGTGGACTTCAATGCTGGCTGTGGAATTCTGGGAGTTGAAGTCCACATGTCTTAAAATTGTCAAGGTTGAGAAACACTGATCTAGAGCTTCTTTTCTTTGGAAAAGGAAGTACGAGGAAATGCAATATATCTAAAACCATGTACTGGTTTCATACAATATCAGAATTCATTATTATTCCATGAAACTAATTGATGGAAGCAATATTTTGCATGCTTAAAGTATTACTCTCTAGAATAGTACCCTCATGCCCATCAACTGCAGTTGCTGATACTAACAAAGGAGAATATTTGTAGCTCAGGGTTGACATGAGGGGTCCTTCGTGCTCTCTGAGCTTGCTTGTTTTCTTGCAGATAGCATAGAATATCTTTACTGTCATTGTGTATCTCACAACGAAATTAAGTGCTGTCCACAGTGCATATTACACACGTAAGAACCACAAATAAAAAACATACATATACACACATCCTTCACATTGTATTCACCATTGCGCTGCCCCTAATATTGCACTTCAATGTTGCACTATACAGTAGTATTTAATATGGTTACAGCTCTGGGATAAAAACTAATTTTCAGCCTATTTGTCTTTGTTTTTATTATCCTGTACTGTCTGCCAGATGGTAATAGTTCAAAAAAAGAATGTCCGGGATGAGATGAGTCTTTAAGAATATTTTCAGCTTTCCTAAGACAGCGGGAACTGTACAGTTCATCTGGGGGAGGGGAGGAGAGGGCAGCCAATAATCCTCTTGGCGATGGCATTGACCCTCTGGAGCGCTTTCCTGTCTGCTACTGTACAGTTGGCAAACCACACACAAGTGCAATAGATGTTTCA